ATTATATAATATTAATATAATTATAAATATTTATAATTTAAATATATTTATATTTATATATATTTATTAATTAATATAATAATAATTTAATGATATATATATAAAATGATAATAGATATTTGATAATATATATATATATTTATATATCAAATAATATATATAAATATATTATATATAATCTAAAAATAAATATATAAATTTTATATATATAAATATATATTTATATATTTTATATAAATATATATTTATATAAATCTATAAAAAAATATATATAATAATTAAGAAATATTATATATATATATCATAATTTAAAAATATATAATAAAAATATAACAATATAAAAAAACTATATATATAAAAATAAGTATTAATATATAAATATATATATAAAATATATATATTCATAATTATAATTTATATATAAAAATATATAAAATATATCATATATATATATATATAGATCATATATATATCTATCAAAATAAAAATATCTATAATAATCATATATATATATAATATATAAATATAAATAAATAAAAAAAATATAAATATTTATAAATATAATTATTATATAATTTATATAAGTATATTATAACAATATTTATATATATATTGATATCTATATAAATATTTGTATATATATAAATTTATATATATATATATATAAATATATATTTATAAATATATATATTATATATATATAAATATATATATATCTCAATAATATATTATATATATAATATTTAATATATAAAATATATTTATCTATATAACAATAAAATAATAAAAATAAAATTAATATATATATTATATAAAAATATATATTTTTTATAAAAATATATAATTATAAATATATATGTAAAACTAAATATATATAAATAAATAAAATATAACTATATAAATATCAAATATAAATATATATATATGTATAAGAAATGAAAATGATATATATAAATAATATAAAATTTATATACATATATTTAAAATACACATTATTAAATATCATACAATATATGATATAATATACATTTATAAAAAGTGTGTGTAATATACATACATTTATATAAATTATATATATGTATATATGAATATAATTTAAATTGTGTATTATAATATAAAAAATTATATAAAATATAAAAAAAATTATAAATATCGATATCTTAAAATAATAAAAATACATATAAATATATAAATGAATAAACAAAATAAAAATAAGAATATATGTATATATATAACTCTAAAATAAAATAAATAAATAAAATATAAATAAATCTATAGTAATATTAAATAGACCCATGAAAATCTAAATACATACACAAAATAAAAAAACATAAATATCATAAATAAATATCAAATAAAAACAACAAATATATGAAAAAACAATAAAAAAATCAAAAAATCTATATAAAAATAATATATATATAAAAAATAAAATAACTAAAAAAATAAGTCAAAACATATAAAATGTAAATACATATATTATTAAATACAAATATATATGTAAATACATATAAATCTCTGTAACCAATGAATCAATATCAATCTTGTAAAACTGATATAAAATATATAAATATATCTAATAACAATATAAATATATAAAATAACAATCAAAAATATTAAATATATAAATATATAAGTAAAAATATTATATATGATGAAAATATAAAATGTAAAAATAAAAAAATATAAGAAAAAATACTAAATAAAGAAAAAATATATATAAAAACTCAATATCAATAATATTATCTATATATATATATATAAATAATATAAAAAATATATATATATATAAATACTATATATATATATATAAATATAATATAATATAAATATATATATCTATAAATATACTAAAAAAATATAATAAATAAATATATATATATAAAAATATATATATCTATATAAAAATATATATAAATATATAAAAATATAAATAAATATATATATGTATGTAAATAAAATATATATATTTATGTAAAAGAATATATATAAATATATATAAAAATATCTATATATATATATATATAATCTTAAATACATATATAAAAATATATATATATATATATAAAAAATATAACAATAAAAATAAATATATATATCTCAAAATCTAATATCTATAAATAAATGTAAATATAATAATGTAAATATAACTAAATAATATAAAAATATAAAATTTATTTATTTATATATATAAATAATATATATATATAATATATAATATAATATAATATATATCTTAAATATATATATATAAATGTAATACACCACACACACAAAAGTTATAAATATAAATATTATGATAAAAAATATAAATAATTATATATAAATATTTAATGTATATATATATATAATATAAATATAAATATAAATAAAAATAAAACTAAATAAGTATATAAATATATATATTCTATATATAAATATATCATAATATATAAATGTATATATCTAATATAAATATACTAAAAATTATAGATATAAATATAAATATATAATATAATTA